GACACAATGGGGTCCCCCAGGCTTGTCACCACGGCCTGTCGCCCCCCCATGGGAGCCTGGGTGGCACAGTGGGGTCCCCCAGGCTTGTCCCCTCTCCTGAACACCAGTGCCTGGCTACATGTCGGGCAGCTCGTGCCAGGCACCCCTGGCCCAGGACAAAGCGCTGGCGCGGGGGTCTCCCCGCAGTCGCCCTGCGGCGCCGGAGGTTGCACCGGGAGCGGCCGTGCAGCCTCCGTGCTGCAGCCCTGCAGCCTCCGTGCAGCCTCCGTGCTGCAGCCTCCATGCAGCGCCCTTGCAGCAGCCGTGCAGCCGCCGTGCTCCGTCATTGCCCAGCACTGGTAGCGCGCCAGCAGGAGCCACGGGAGCAGCCGGGCTCGGGCTCGGTGCACCGGGCCAGCTGCTGGCGCCGCCTCTGCGCCCTGCCGGAGCGAGGCTCTCTCCGGGCACCGCTCATCCCAGCAGAGCAACATGCAGCAGCCCCGTGTCGGCATCGCAGAGCCAGCGGGACCCCCCCTGCTGTKACACCCCCCACACAGACCCCGAGTTTCTGCCCCACATTGCTGCTCAGCAAACCGATAGGGATCGGATTTATCCCACAGCAGGGGGTTCCAAGCAGCTTTTCCCCCTCTCCCATCCCCCTTCCTTCACCARCCCCATTTCTCCATCACCCCTACAAGGTGGGCAGGTTCCTGTGGGGCAGAGGCTGCTCAGAGTGCTGCTGTTCCCGTTTGGGCCTCTATTCTCCTGAGAGCCAAGCAAAATCAATAAGCAGAAATAAATTTGACAGTATACAAATTTCTTTCAGGAAATTAGTGCCTGGCAGAGTTGGACATGGAAGACCTGAAGTTATAGAACTTTGGCTAGAAGGTGTTTTTCAGCAATCTTGTATTTAAAGACTGGGGAATAAAATAGTGACCCAGTACAGGTCCATGTTCGGGGGGACTGAAATACATAGTCAGTACTTGAGATCTGGGAGCTGCCGTGCTTTAAGGTAGCCTTTGCTCCAGGCCTTTTCTGCCAGGCAGACCCCAAGGAGAGTAACTAAAACTCTGAATCCCGTTTCAGGGTCTAAATCACTCCCACAAGCATTTGTTTGAAAAGAGAAGGTGAAGAAGCAGCGCACGCTGTTGTGCTTGGGGGATCCCACTAGTCCCAGGTATCATTTTAAACCCAAACACTTTTTTTTTTTTTTTTTTAATTGTGTTTCCCCACGGATGCTCTTGTCACCAGGGGCCCAGGTGTCGCCTGCTGTGTCTCTCACTCCTCGCGTACACGTTCAGCATCACCGGTGGTGTGCTAGAGACTTCACAACTGTCACCCAGGTTTGCACTACCCTTTCGGTGACTGCTGCCATCCTGTCCCTCGAGAGAGCTTCCAGCTGAGCCAGGTTCTCATGGAGCTGGAGAGCATGAAGGGAGTCAGGCCATGGCATGGAGTCCAGTAGGAGCAGGGCTGTACCTGTCTATCTGGCACTTTGGGCCAGACTAGTTTAGGGTTTCCCAACAGGAGAAAGACATTGACATCCTGAAGCGACTCTAGCAGAGGCCATGAGGAGAGTCTGGGGACCACAGGCTGGCAGCYAGGCACAGGGACAGAGGCCCAAAGAACCAGTGAGGTCTCCATTCTTGGACCTGCAAGGCCTTTGCCTGGCCAACCTTCAATCAGAGGTTGGAGCAGAGATTCCCTAGAGGCCCCGTCCCACCCCAGCTATCCAGAGGGGGACTTGCTGCGTTCTGCCATAGGGAAGCAAGACTTAAACTCTTCTAACATCCCCATGTCTCGTGACATCTGGTCCTGAAGGGAATTCACCTGTAAATGACAAGCGAGGATGTTTCCTAAACTGAGATGTTAGTGTCACAGAGCACTTCCCTGCATCTTTGCACTGCACTTAGAGTAACTGGAATCCCTGACCTTTAAAAACTAGGAAATGGGGAACATGGCTAGGGTGATTCTGTCAGCTCTCAGTATGAATTAGGAAGTGGTTCCGTGGAAAATGGGAGTGTCATGTTTAAAACAGGGCAAGAAAATGGCCTCACTTTCCAACTACCAGGATTCTTTGCACCAAACTGATGTATTTCCTTCGTTAACTGAGAATTATCTGTCAACTCTGTTTCCCTTTGTAGGCCATGAACCCGGACTTGTTCAGCTGGTGAATTACTACAGGGGAGCAGACAAGCTGTGCCGCAAAGCGTCTCTGGTGAAGTAAGAAAACTCACTGCAATCTTAGATGGGATTGGCAGGAATCTTTCCTTAGCCATTGGCAAGTGTTGAACCTGTAGTGAGGGCGTTTCCCAGAGAACAGCTGGAAAAATAAATGTGCCCTGGGATTGTGGAAGCTTGTGCTGCCTTCAGACTCCTCTGCTGTCTCTGCAGCTGTCTGTGTGCACAAAGAGCTCTGGGCAGCTTCAGGGGAGAAGCAGTTTCTCCTGCATTACATCTGCTTGAAACTGTAGAGCGTGTTCAGTCAGATAGGAGTAAAAGAAAAAGTATCTGGTGTTTTTCCTTATAGCTAAATGAAAATCATATTTAAAGTCTGCTCCTTTTATTCTCTAATATCGTAGAGAGAAGAAGCACTAATGTGCCCTTGGCTAATCAGATTTCTCAGCCAAGCAAATGCTCGGAGGTCTCTCTGGGAAGGGCTGGCGCTGCGATGCTCTCTGCAGGAGCAGCCGTGCCGGGCTCTCCTGCGGAAACGGGGCTGAGCTCACTGTGCCGGTGGCCACAGCCCATGGGCCAGCTCTGTCGGGCTGTTAGGCTGGCGTTTGGAGAGACAGGGAGCTCCCTCGGCTCTGAGAGAAGCAAGAAAACAGGCCTGGCCTCCAGCAATGACAGTTCACTGGCATCTCTCGCACAACTGTGAGAGGGAGCTGGGATTGCACGACACGAGAGGAATCCCGGGAATCTCAGAACATGGGATGTGGGGCTGTGCCCTTGCCTTCAGTAATTTCCCAGTGGTCTTGATCCACGCTAGGGAAGCCTCCCTTGGTTGCAATAGCAATGGAATCAAGAGCTAAGCAAGAGAACAGAAGACATGACTGCTCTGGCTCCGCTTTTCCCTACCTTGATTTTTTTGGGGGGCTTTTGCTGTTTGGGACCTGGAACATCTGCCCTATGAGGAAAGGCTGAGAGAGCTGGGCCTGTTCAGCCTGGAGAAGAGAAGGCTGGGGGGGGACCTGATCAGTGTCTATAAATACCTCAAGGGAGGCAGTGAGGA